TGCATTACTGCTTTTCTGCAGTCCTCTATATGCATCAAAATCTGATAACATTATATTTAGTAGATTTTAGCTTCTTTGCAGCTTCAACCTTATTTTTATTTTTCCTGGCTTATTTCTAAAATCTAAACTATATGCCTTTTCAATAGAAAAACTTTTTTTTTTGACTGGATAATAGTGCCTGTGATATTTGCCCTGCCTCCATATCAGATAGGATTTCATATGAAATATGGAAAGGAAAATATTGGAAATCATTGTTAATGGACTTTGAAGACATTTTAATTTTGGCTCAGCCTTGTAAGTCCTTTGCTATAGAAATGGTCTAGTGGGATCTGTTACTGGCTTATAGAAAATTGGACTGTGAATTCATATCCTAGCATGACTAATCAGGGGACAGTAACAGGGATATGAAAAAGTCTCACTATTTGTGTATAAGGCTCATCCAGATCTCTTTCCAAGGGTAAAAAATAAACAATATTAAAATTACTATTAATCATATACTTAGTATTGCAAATCTCGTTTTTCAGTCCCCATGTATTCGCATTTCTTTTTTTTTTTAAATTGATTCAGAACAAGCAGAGAGGAAGTCTCATGGGATTACACAGCAAAAAGGTGAAGACAGCTATTCACTTCATCTTTGCCATTTACCTTGAACTTAACACGTGGTATGCAATCAAAAGAAGCTCAGGTAAAAGTGTAACAAGAGGTGTTTTATATATATACCATTAGATTTAAAGCATAGACAGACAAACTGAGATGGTGTTTCAGAAGAACATTCTCTCAACAATTAAAGAGCTTCCAAGGTTAACCACAAAGGAAGTATTAGGAAGATCTTAGCATTGATTTTTTTTCCCCAGAATTTATTTATTTATCTATTTCTAAATCCTACATGCTGCCTTTTTCTGTGTTTTCTCTTTCAGAGACTTTGCTTATAATTGAGAAATTAGTTTTTTAGGTTAAGGCCTACATCTGAATTTGGCTTAGAATCTAATCAATATATAAGTTACTTCATTAATGAAAAATGTTACCAAGTTTCCCACAACTGACAGAAAACTTCTAGAAAGTAAGGTAGAATTCTGTTGATCTAATCATATTCAACCAAAGCTATTATTTTCTAAGTAATTTTTAGATAATGAATATGCCTTTATATAACATAAGTAAGTCTAGTTTTTAAGTAATATTTGGACCTCATGTAAATTTAAGATACCACATGATATCAGATAGTTATTGCTGTGAACTGACAGAGAAGACAGTGAATCAGTGAAACTTCCATATATTATTCCATCATTGGTGCATAATTCTATTTCACAATGACTTTATTACTCTCTTTTTATTTGTGTGTGGTAAGCATATGAAACCACTCACAATATGAAGGGGTTGGGTAGAGATGAAGTCTGTCATAAGGTGAGCCACCAGTCTAACACCCTATGTCTTAGGGTCTTGGCAATTCTGAAACTAATGCTGTAGGTTTACAAATGGTTTTGAAGAGTAATAGGAATATTAAATCACTATCCTGGGAAGAACTTTTACGTGGGAAAGCTAAAACTTTCACTGGACTTCAATGCTTGAAGAATGCTCATATGTGGAATCTAAAAAACAAAAACAAACAAACAAACAAAAACAAAGCATAAATACAGGACAGAAATAGACTCATGGACAGAGAATACAGACTTGTGGTTACTGGGGGTGGGGTAGAGGGTGGGAAGGGATAGACTGGGATTTCAAAATTGTAGAATAGATAAACAAGATTACACTGTATAGCACAGGGAAATATATACACAAAATGTTATGATAAATCACAGAGAAAAAAAAAGAATGTTAATTCTGAATTGGGAACCACAGAATGTTCTAATAAAATATAAACTGTTCAAGTGTGTAGGTGCCCCTTTTTGCCAGTTGTCTTAGTTCTTAAGCAAGTCACCATAAATAGGAAATGAAGAAAAGAAAAAGAAAAGAAAACTGGAGGCAATTCTGCCCTATGTATAAGCAATACCTTATGGTATATAAAATTTCTAACCCGTTTTCAGATATTGTTTGACTATAGAAATAAATTAAAGAAATAACTAGAGGAGCAAAGAGAGCAAGCTTATCAACATTTTAGAGTATGTACCTGAAAACATCTTTCTAAGAGTGACATTAGTTCTTTCAAGAGGGTAAAATTTGATTTTTATAGGGAGGAATCCAGTGGGGAAGACTAGATTTTAAAATATATAATTTCAGTTATGTCATCCTAATTTCTCATCTCTTTCCTCATCCTCTCCTCTTCTCTCCTGGGATTTTTCTTACCTCACTGGGTAACTACTACTTGAAAGGCACTGCAGTAAATATATGAATATACTTGCTATTCAACTTTCAGTCAATTATTTCCTGGTGTTTTTCTCTATTTGAAACTAAGAATAATTACCCTTTACTGTAACCTTTCTGGAAACAAGAAAGGTCATATAAACAAATGACAACCACTGCATAAATACTGATTTCAGGCTTGTCTGCTTTCCGAGTCTCATGATTCAATGATTTTCTTATTACTGAGGTTGGTATAAAAAAATACTGAAAAAAAAATTGCTCCTTGATAGCACAGTGTGACATGAATGCAAAGAAACTATTTTATACAAGACATCATTATGTATCTCATTTAAATTTGATTAAGGTAACTGGGGACTAAACAAGCATCATCATTAGAACAGATTTTGTGATTCCTTGAATGATACAGCAGATGACTTATGAGACCCTAAAAGTATTGTGACATATATACAATTGATAGAAAGGAAATTAATTTCTGCTCAATAGGCATCGTCCTTTGGCTAGCAATTTAAGGTGCCATGATACAGGTCAAGAGAGGAACTGCTTCCTGCCCCCAAACTGAAGAGTCACTCAACTATTATATGGCAAAGAACCTGCATAAGGCTTTTTTTTTTTTAATATGAAACAAAAAAAAGAGTCTCATGATCATTGCTTCATTTCTCTTTATACAAAATTATAAACAGAATTCTTGGGAAACAAGCTATAGGTGAATGGAAGAGGATAAAAATTATCTTTAAAATCATAGCAGTTATAACTAAAAAGTAGCAGAGAAAATGACCAGGGACCACTTATCAAAGTGATTTAAGTCAGGAAAAGTGAGATGAGTTAATTTCAGTTTGAGGGAACAGGAACAAGTTTAGACCTATAAATTTTTTATGAAGCAATTTTGTTAAACCTGATTTGTATGTAAGTCATGAAAACTGAACTGAGTTTTCTCTCCTATGAAAGCTGGAGGCAAATTTGGCTTACAGCCTAGAAGAATAGAGTGCTAGAGTGTTCTTTTACATTCCTCTCTGGAAAGTTGTTTCTATGTATGTATTACACAAACATCATCTTGCTTCTATCATTCTCAGTGGCTAAATGACAAAGGTTATCTTTTTTACCAGTGATGTTGAATAATTCAAGTCACTACTGAACTTTGTAATGTTATTTTTGCAAAATATACCTAAATCCACCAAGATTTGCCATTCAGAGTTAAGGATTAAACCATAAAACTACAAATCATTTGTTCAACTCTTTAATTCCAATCACTGAAATATTAATAATATATGTGAATGCTACATTTTTGTATTTGCAGTTAACTCTGAGAGCTCAGTTTATTAGATTTTTCATCTCCAACTTTTTGCAACACCACTATCACTGCCTCCACCGCCACCGCCGCCGCCGCCGCCGCCACCACCGCCACCACCGCCACCACCACCACCACCACCAATAAAATTTTTGCGCAACTTATACTATTTTTGTTTCTAGGGAGAGAAAGCGTGGTATAACATTCATTAGAATTAAAACTACTAATTTTTATTTCATATAATTTTGGTTCCTACTCTGTCAGTGGCATTATTGGCCAGAAAGTTTCCAACCACTTCAGTAATTAACCCATGATAAAACCAGATGACACTGGAGCATAGTTATGGTTTGTTACTGTTTGTATGTTTTAATTCAGCAGGCAAAGGTGATTGAAAGGCAAAAGAAAAACATCAGTGTAATAACTTTAGGCTTTGATGGCATCATTTTGCCAAGAAAAATAAGAAATGTGCATGATGGCATTTTGTTTCCATTCTATTTCCTGATTTTTTCAAATGGTCCCATTATACTGCTAGCTGGGCCAGCCCTCCTCAAAATACTGGTGTCATCACCATAATTTGTAGCGTAATTACTAATTATGATAGAAACATAAGAATTATGATAAAAAAAACTCCAAGAATCAATATCCTAGTTCCATTTTCTACGACAAATGTAAAATACAAAGTAGATATGTGTGCTTCTGGTGAAAGGGAGCAAGGCAGCAGGATACTCTACAAAATGGTAAGAGTAAAACAATCTGTGACTGTAATACCACGGATAATCTACAAAATGATTTACTCAACTTCAAAATTGTACTTTAAAATGCTCAATATCTTATATTTTGTTTTTTTTCTCATTGATGAAATATGGCTTTGGTAAATTGTTATTTTTTTTAGGGAAAACTGCACATTAATTTTCTTTCTCAAAAATTTCTTCCAAACTTACTACTTTTTTTTTTCCAAATCATTTTTTTCTTAAGTGACATGGAACTTTATTTAAATCTCTATAAACTCACCCAAATATGGAATTACTTTTTCTGTGAGTAACACTCAGCTTTAAATTCTCTTTTCTAGCCAATTCCAAGTGGCAAAGTGGCTCAAATTCATCCTTGTTTTATTCTTAAGTTACAAATTTGGGACCTGAATCTCTAGTTTTTATTAATGAAAAAACTTTCCTTGAAAAAGAGGCAGCACTATGCTGACTGGGTGCCCAGTGTATAGATCCTTCATCCACTTCTTTTACATCATTTTTAAGGCTTTAGAGATCACAGATGTGGTTCCTGCATTTTAACAAGTCACTTGCATTTCTTTTCAACAATGTATTGTAGAAATATTTATTTCTGTATTGTGGGTCTATCAATTATGAGCACAGTCCTACTGCTGTATGTGGTGGCAGAAAATTTCATTTGAAATACCTACCAGCAGGTATCCTGGAGGGCAAAGATCCTCCCCCTGGCACTGGATGCGGGGCCTGGATGCTATTTAAAAACCCTGCCCTCAGGAAGCTGGGGCAAAACGTTTCCACCCCAATGGCCGGGAAGGATCCTTTCAAGAGATAAAAATTAACATTAATCATAAAGTTTTCTCTTTGGAAAAGCTGTTGATCATTTAATTGGAACAAAACCTATAATCAACAAAGACATCAAACCGTACAAGGAAGCTATAAAATTAAAAGGAATGAAATGCATTTTTATTCACAGATTTGAAAAATAAACCTAGTTTTCTGAAAAGAAAGTTACTCTTAATTAGGTACAATTAAAGAGGATTTAGAAGCATCAGAATGCTAAGATAAAATTTCTAAATCTACATTTGAGAAAGGGGATTTAATGCAAGCCACTAGTGTTTTCTATCTGCAGAATTCACGTCCACACGAGATATAGATACATAGAAAACAGCCCCAATAGGATCTGAGATCTGTGCTGCACTAGAAGGCACAGTGCTTTACTTTAGGTGTATTAATCTGAGAGTTTAAAATGAGGACAGCTTTTATACTCCCCAGTAATTATACAGGTTTTTGAAATAGTGGTAAGAAAAACAATATACACATTTCTTAATTTGCCTCACTTTTCTGTTAGGGACAAGACATGAGAGTTTGCAAAGGTAGAACCACATGCTTTTTCATTTTTAAGAAGGCTATTGAGAGGGAAGCAAGAAAAAAAAACTACTTAGATATTTATCCACAAAATTATAATATAATGAACCCTAGAATAAAAGAGTATCAGTGCTGAAAAGGACTTTGGAGATCATCCAGTCAAAAAATCTACGTTTTACAGACCAGCAAACTGAGGCCTGGAGTAGGGAGTGATAGTACATTGCTGGCAGTCTCCCAGGACAGAGTCTTTCCAACATAGGTTAAAAATAAACAATGAGCCACTTCCTATCTGAGAGATTTTGGGAGCTCTCCCCTGAATGTGAATTAGAAACTTTGCACTTTGGAATAGTGTTATTACAATTTGGAGTCTCAATGACCTGAAAGACACTAAAATCATTCAGAAGAAAATTTAATATACATGCAACATCAGTGCATGGACAGCCCTGGTAATTGATATAGTACATCTAAGTTTAAATCACAATAATACCCTGAAAGCAAGTTCCACTGATGGTTGTAAGAAATACATCTCATTCGAGACCTCTGAAACTCCCACCAGTCACAACAGTTTTCATATGTAGAGAGTTGGGATCTCTCCTCCCAAGTTCAGATTTAGCAAGTCCTGTATTTTTGAAGAGACTTCACTCTGCTCTTTGACATAAATTTCGTACCTAAAATAAGTTAAAATTTGAGGCTTCTTTGAACTTTGACCAGGGTTAAAGGGATTTGGCATACCATACCCTATACATCCTGCTTCTATGGAGAAAGTTGTTGCTAAAGAAAAAAAGCAGTATTTCCTGGATCTTCAGAGATGTTTTTATGAAAGAGCAAAGTTACAATGAATGTTTTAATGGGTGAGGGCTATACATTGTGCACTGGGTTAAAGAATACATAGAAAGAAAGTCATATACTGTGAATTAACTGGTTTTGATGTGGATTTTATGTGGCTTTAGTAAAATGACCCAGCAGAGTTAGAGTGCCTTAAACATTAAGAGGTGTGGCAAAAATGCCTATTAGTAAGGCTTAAAGTGCTCTGAGGTAGCCTTCGAGGAACAGTGAAATTAATTTCTCTTCTGTTACTACATGGGATATTTATCATCGAGCATAAAGTCAACATAAGCCCTTGTGGAGTCGCTCACACAAGGCATTTCCCACATTGCAGTGTTTCATCACCATCTGAGAGAACACTCATTAACGTAAAGAGCGTCAGTGAATGCCAGGTGGAGATAATTATATCATATATTTATAAGGCATTCTTATTTAAAGTTATGAAAGAAATGGTGATTTTACAAGAGGGAAAATAATTACAAGAAATTCAGATTTTATTTTATGCTCTGAAAACAAAAATAATCCAATTTTAGCTGATCATGGATTTGTTGAAGTCAAATAATAAGTCTGGTTTAAGAACCTACACCGTAAAGAAAAAGAATAACATCATTGTGCCCAAGAAAAAGAAAGGGACATAAATGTAATTATTTTAAGGGAAATTTGAAGAAAAACAAAAGCATATCTAGCGGTAAATCTAAAAAATGTTAATCTGCTTCACTTTTAGAGGTTTTTATCTGAGTTTCTGCTATTTTTTCTAACATTATTTAAAACTGTTACCTTAGAAAAGATGTCAATTATTTTAACTCCTTGAAAGAAACTAATTACAAATATTATTTTATTGCTATGATTACATTACTATTTTTGTTGTGACAGCCTGTCATATTTAATAGTGGCTTTCATTTTCCTAAACTTGGTGCATCATTTGCAATGGTTTTGTTATGTTTCATTACTGTGGGTTAAAAGGACTTTCACTTATTGTGGCAACTTTTCCTTAAGGAACTATCATTTTTTTATATCTGAAACAAACAAGCAGAAAAGCTGGTTGGTGGGCATGAATACATATTCCATTGAGATATCATGTTATGTGATAATAGTGGCTTATCATTTTTCTTCTTAAGGCCAATCATGTCAATAGAAATTGCATGAAACACTGAAGCTCTATGTTTTCACAGTTCAATCAGGAAAACTGAAATTATTCTTTGTTATAATTCCCTTATCTCTTAATCCACAAGAAATTAAGTTCATGGAGCTTTTGGAATTTGATATGAAATAATTTTAGCATGGTTTGCACTATTGCTTAAGGTGCTGACCCTCTCTGACTGTTTATTTTTTAAAGTAATTAGAGAATTTATTAATCAATTATATTGCAGGGGTATAAGAAATGATGTCTAATATCTTTAGCAGAACCATATAAATTTCCACGAATATTTTCTTTTTAGTTACTTTCAGTAGACTATTTGTCAATATAAATTAGATTTTTATGTAATGAGAATATTCCTCTATCCTTACAAGTTTGAAGTAGGAGTCACTCCAGATGCTTTTCTAAATCTCAAATACTTGAGTTTCCCATTTGTCAGTGACCTTGAGTCAGTGGGTTAAAGAGAGACCAAACTGTGACATTAGCATTATATTGTCTCTAATAGAGAGTTGCCAGATAACTGGGTGTTCTGTAGTTTTTACTTGCTAAATCTGGTAACCGTACTCTAATATAATTTTAAATACTTATGGATATCAGATGGATATGGATGAAAGACACAATTCACTACTGGTGTAAGATAAATTAACAAATGTCACTAACAAAAGATAAAGTAACAAATTAACAAATGTCAACATTGGTGATTTATCTGTCTTTCATTAGCTCGGTGGTTCTCAATGCATTTAGGGAGCCCTGAAAATTATGACTGGGGAAAGACACCTCTGGTGTTTAGCAGGTGGGGTTAGGACGCATGCTGAAGGCATTGCAGTAAGTAGTATACTCTCAACACAAAGGAGAATTCTCTTTCAAAATGCTGGTGGCATCCACTGGAAAATGTTGTCCAAGAATAAAGAATCTTAAGAAAATAGTTGCTAATGAACAAGTCATATAAAGAGGCCACAATATGAAGAAACAAGGTGAAGAAGTTGACGTGGCCTGTACTCTGACATTTGGCTTGATCAATTAATGGAGGACTGATTACTCAGATTATGTGACAGTAATCTGGCCTGTAGAATAAGCAATTTTCAAAGAATTATAATAAATATATTTAACACAAACTCAGTGAAACAAAATCCCATTTTAACTTGATATCACAGCAATCTCCCTGAAATAACTTTACATTGGAAACTAGACAACGTTAAGAATTTGTGTAAGAGATAACAAGCTATAACTTGAAAGTTTTTGTGCCTCAGTTTTCTTATCTGTGAAATGAAAATAACTGACCCTACTTAATGGGGCTGTTTGTGAGGGTTAAATGAGAGTAAATTATCATAAATATAAGGTAATATTATTAGATACTTCTAATGTTTTTAAAAAAGAAACCATTTTAGGTTAGAAAGTGAGAAAAAAATTAAATTTTCTAATGTAGAAACCCCCCACTCTCACATATACACAAATTCCTAATAGAACAAATTTCATCTTTGAAGATTATATACCAATAATTTAATTTTGATGCCATGAAGTTTAATAAGGGCAATATCCCTATAACATGTGAAATTTTGAGATCTCACTTTTTCAAATTGTTTTCACTAGGCTGTATTTTTGCAGATAACCATTTTGATCTATGGGTAGACAGAGAATGCACAGGCTTAATCAAAGATAAAGACTTTAGAATTGGAAACTGAAAATACATGCATGCAGATGTATATTAGATAAATATAGAATATGGAAAAATCTGTCTACAACCCCTAAAATGAATTCTTTGTCGACTATAGTATGAAATGCAAGGATGATCTAATCTGATCTAAAAAGAGGAGATCACAAAAAGTCATTGGGAGCAGTATTTGGATTTACACTTACAAAAATATGAATTTACACTTATAGCAAACCTGGCCTGAATATGTAGCATTTTATGTATATTTTGCCTAGTGTGTGGTGTGGCTATTATTTGTAAGTATTGAAATACACTGAACTTACAATCAGATCCTAAATTGATAAAGTTTGCACTGTTAATATAGAGATGAATATTTCAAAATATTGTAATTTCATTCCTTTATGATATTTTGATTGGATTATAAATATAACAATATAATAAATACAGTAAAACCATAGAGATATATATATATGACTTGCAGCTAAATTTGTATTCATATAGTAGAGCATTTTGCCTCAAAAATATTTACTGTTGGAGAACTAAGAATTGAGTATGTATAGGTTCAGAGCAGACATCCCTTCTTCACCCTTAAATATCCAGTATTGAGTTCTACAACTGACACACAGTAGCCTCTTCATAACTGTGTGGTTTAGATGAATGATGGTATCTCCGCTACAGTATGAATAACTTCAAAATTCAATGAGAATATAGTCTGTTAAACCAAATGCTGTGTCAAGGGCCATTTTTTCTGAGAAACTCTAACTGCTGGAACCTGTAATGATTCTCTACCTCTTTATCTATCTATCTCTTTATCTATCTATCTATCTGTCTAATTTCAG